CTCACACACACACACACACACAAACACACAACACCATACAAAACAGATTAAAATATAAATTTATACACACACACACACACATTGCACTATTTTTAAACCAAAAATAATACACATGTATACATAAATTTATATACCATAATAATTGGACTGTTATGCAGAAAATAATCACAGCGACCGATAAAGTAGCCATTCATCAATGAAACCATACAAAGAATCTCACCAGCTTCCCATCTTTTTTTCAATACGATATTATATGGTCAGCGGATTCCGAAACAAAAGACACTGAACTGTCACACTCACTCCAAATCCTACGGTCATTTGATCTGGGTTCATATTAATGAAAACTCGACAGTATTATAAGCTTATTTGTCTAGATCTAGATGTGTTTAGCAACTCTGGTTCACCCACCGAGTCTAAACCCAATAATTTGAATAATTAAATTAAAAAACAACAAACAAGTAAACGAGTACCAATGATAAAAAAACCAACATTATAAAATCAACCAAAAAAACAAACAAAATCAGGTTGATATGCAAAAAGTAGTTTCTGAAGTACACCCTACACTCTGGGTGTGCCAATGGCCAACAGGTCAGAAGAAGAGACAGAAAAAGAGACACACAGAAAGAGAAAAACAGAGCGAGGGGTGGGACGAGAATAAGTTGATAAAAAAAAAAGAAAGTGGATTTTGGGCCAGTTTTAGACCACGTTAAACTTTCAAAGGGACAAGGGATGGAAAATACTTTAGGCTGATACTTATTCAAAAAGGATGTGTTGAAGGAGTAAAGGAGGCTGGGGTGATGGGGAATGGAATAAATAAACCATCAGAAGGTGCAACCCCTCTTTTAAAGGCAAAATAACTTTTGCCAAGATCATCACAATCCATGTACTTATATTTACTTTGGTACATCATCAATTCTCCTTTCTAATTGTTTCTTTCCTTTTTTCTCGACATTTGCTAGAGTCACATTATCAAATGCTTCACCATCAAAGTGATCAATAATGTGTGTCTAAAAGGGCCTTAAGCTGACACAATAAAACATAAAATACAGTTACATATTACATTATACATCATCAGCCTACCTGCATCTTGGGTTGTCTGAAATTCGAACAGACAAATCCTCCTGGTTTCTTCACTCCGTCTTCCTTTCCCTTGAGAGCACTAAACGAAAACGGCTCTGAAGAGGAGTTACTTTTCCAGTTGACTTTGCCACTCACAGCTCTCGGTGAGATGGAACAAGGTCTGCTTTTGTCATCACTACCGCCGGATGCCATTGGTGGTGACGCATTACTCCAGCAGAAAATCGGCAATGACTTCGACGGCGAAGGTAAAAATTTTCTTATTGTTCAGTTGTTCAAGGACTCCAAAGAAAGACAACTGTATCATGAAACACCAGTAGCATGTATGCTAGCTCTCTCCAATATGGTATCCTCACAGTCTTTGCTCGCACACACACGTTAGTTCCTAGTCCATCATTGGTGGCATAACTAGAATTTTTTCTGTTACATCAAATCTACCTGAGCAAGAATGAAAGGCGTCAAAAACTGCTGATCAAACTAACCCGAACTCAAATCAGAGTCAGATTAAAAAGTCTTGAAGTGGGTGCCATGCTGTCCATTATCTGAAAATATACGGAAAGTTTAGTTTCAAGTTTTAGTACGAGTTTTACAGCACTTACAACACAAATAGATCGTTTAAGTGCCGAAGATTAGAGGTGTTACTAGAAAGTAACATACAAAGAAAAGAAGGGTGAGAGGATTATAATGTCGATTAAGACATTAAAGTTATCCCAGTCAGTCTATTGAGCCAACCACAGTACAGAAACAGCACTTCTTAAAGCCGCGATTGACATGCTTGCTGACTGTAATTAAAGAAAAGGTTATTTTTTTGCTGAGCATTTTAGACCTATCAGCAGCTTTAGATACAACTGACCATCATATTTTATTGAAGCGATTGAAATTGTCATTTGAAATAACTGGACTGCCCTTAGCTAGTTTTGTTCTTCTCTGCCAAACCGATACCAATCCGATGTCATTAAAGGGTACACATTATGTTTTTATCAACGGGATCCCCCAGGGTTCAGTCCTCCATCCAGGAGGAATTATGTACAAATTGCCCACTCTATGTCATAAATGCTTGAATGATAATGGGAGGTTGGAGTCAGCATATGAGAGGAGGTAGAGCCTTTTCAGTTCACTATGGTTGAGTTAACTGCAAAGCTCTTACATATCTTGATTTCATTTTTCCTATACAGTCGAACTTGCCTTAACGGAAACCTGTATGAAACGGAAACCTGTCTTAATGGAATCTCCCCGTCCCCCTCTTGATATCTTCCTCTTTAATTACTTGTATAAAACGGAAACCTGTCCAACGGGGAAACGGAAAGAAAAATCTGCTCCCTTCAGAGGGCTTCACCTGTCTAAGACGGAAAATGTCTTGCCCACTCAGCCCTGATTTGAAACAAAACTCGCAAGTTTAGTTCCACCGGCTCTAAACTTATCGCCATGGCCATGCCGCTGGGTGAGGAAGGGGAGTAGGGGTGCAATTTGGGGGTAGATGTTACCCCATCATGTGAGCCCTGAGCGATGCAGATGGTCAGTGTAGTGTGGGTGTGAAATCTCATGACAGCCCGTGAGAGTGCTCGAGTAGCCAGCCACCACAGAAACTTTCCTGGGTAGCCAGAAGCCAGAGCTGTGAAGTTAGATTGACCAATGCCTGCCGCCTTGGTCGTACGGCCAACTGAGAAAAGACACTTTCCTCGAATCGTTGTTACAATGATGGCAGTGAGGGGTGGCATTAGTGTGCTTGTTACACCGATGGGTGGGGCTAAGGGTGGAAGCAAAGGAGATGTTCAAACGTTTCTGTTTTTAATTTTTAATAGGTCAAACAGTGGTCCTATGAAAGGTAAGCACTGGTGGAAATTGGACTCGTAAGACTGACGCATGTCATTATCAGACAGGATAGCAATTGAGAAGTGTGAAGTTTTGACCACTGCTTGCTGAT